TAGTTAGCCTTAGCTTGTGCAGATTCTTCAATTTTTGTAGAATATATACGTTTTTGTAGTTTTAATTATTTTAATGCATTCAGTTAGTTCACCAATAAGACACCTTGAGTTCCAAGTCACGTGATATATGAAGAAATAAATCATAATTTTTTTTTATAAAATTTAAAAACTTACTCCTTCATATGAATAATTGTCAAATTTGCATTTATAAAATTAAAAATGGTCAAATATGCAAAATATGCAACAATATGCTCCCATTTAAAATGTACTGTATACAGTAGAACCTCGATTATCCGGGGTAATGTTGGGGAAGGGTAACACGGATAAATGAAAAACACGGTTAATTGAGACTTTTTATTAAACGCATTATGAAAAAATTAATAATATTGTACGCATATTAAGTGTGAACAATGTTATTTTCTCAATGACTATAGCAAATGTTAAAAACACACTAAATAGTATGGAAAAAATTTGATAGAATTGAATATTTCTTGTGTGTATTAGTTACAACGTGATTGGATAAATATAATTATTGAAGAATCTCTATTAGTCTCTATTAATCTTAAATAACTCTTATCTACCTGTGACATATTTGGTCATATTTTTATCGTTAAAAAGGTTGTTTATGTTTTTCGATAATGTAATATAAAAATATGTTCGTCTAATAAAACTTTTCAGACGAAAAATTTCGAACGACAATAATTTTGGAAGAGTTAATTGCGAACACGGATAATTGAGACACGACACGGTTAATCGAGGTTCCCCTGAACTTTTATTACATTTCTTATTGGAAAAAGTAGAAATTCACAGTTGTTGGCAATTAATGTTGTTACTGTTTTAAATGAAAAAAATAGGAAATAAATCAATACAATTTTGAAATTATAATCCCATTTCTAATATATTTGATAAACAGGATTTTCAGATAAAATTTAAGTGAATAGGTGCACTAAAATATTAAATAGTGCACAGACCAAAAACAAAAATATACCTACCAAAACTGTAAGCTGTAAGTTGAGGCTGACACTAGTGTTTATTAATGATTCTGGTATTTTATATTTTTGGTTTTTATTTGATGAATACTTATATTTAATATCAAAATAATTACAAATAATATTCTTGAATATTGATTCGATATGTGGTTCATCTTTACTAAAGTGACCGGTTTTATTTAATACAGGGCTGCCGTACGATTTAATCGGGAGTGCCCAGTGCAGCTGAGCGCATTCCTATAATATTTTATATTATAACACAGTGGTTCCCAATCGGTGTGCCGCGGTACATTGGTGTACCGCGAGCGCCCTTTAAATGTGCCGCGATAAATCTATAAATTGTTTTATAAATATGTATTTACCTGTATTTACCAACTTATTATTGATATTCCATATGAAAACTGATCGAACTAATCGTAGATACCTATAATATTATTTATTGTAAGTATGCCCGTCGCGGCCGTCTCGATCGATCGATTGTATTAAAATATATTTCACAATAAAAAAACCCTCTAATAGAGTAGACTGTAAATAGTATACATACATACATACATACATACATGTATATATATATAAAATATGGTTCACATAATTTATGGATTGGTGTCTCGCGAAAATTTTGTTGTAGATGAAGTGTGCCGCATTATTAAAAAGGATGAAAACAACTGTTATAGCATATACCTTCTGGTAACAAAAATGGTTTGGTTCTATGAAATATGTATAAGAAGTAGTCTTTATACGGCTATACATATTATATCTATACACCTACAGTAAGATTTGGTTCAGATAACTATCATGGTATTTACAATCAAGTAGGTTTCTGTGCATAATTTTGTGAAATTTTATTATTCAATACTGTCAGAGATTTGATGATGTGTAATAGCACTAATAAGAAAATAAATTACAAAAATAATCTTTTTTTATCTTTTTTTTTTCGTTGCACAGATAAATAAGATAAATAACTGCTATAAATAGATATTATTTTGTACAACTTTTTTACCAATTTACAGTTTACTTTTATATTACAGTAAATTAATAGCTATTGGAATATAAAAACAGCATAGTTAACAAAACTTTTCAAACACCTATCAATATAATTATTTAATTATCATAATATTTGTATAGTAGTATATTTTAAGTTCAAAGTGTAATAATGAAACTACGAATATATTACACGTCATCAATAATAAAACAATTTTTTTTTGACCCTCGGGGGGGGGGGTGGTTTGAACACGGACCTCCCCCCGTATGTACGCCACTGGATGTAAGTAATAACATTGCATGTTTATCGAATACGAGTAATTTACTAAATTTAGACATTGTATTTACATAATTATAAATAATTACAAATATTGACAGGCTAGCATAGTGATAATAAGAAATGAGTAAGTACTTCCGAATATACTTAATATATGCAGTAGAACCCGAATAAGACGCTCTCCAAAGGACCAGTTAACAATAGCGTCTTAAGCGGGAAATCATTTTAAGCGAGAGCGTCTTAAACGGGTTCTACTATATTAATATATATAAACATTTTTAACTTTTCAGCTGTATACAGTGAATAATACAAGTAAGGTAACTTAATTATATTCAGGTTATTTCTTGTTACTTTTTATAGTACAAGTGTTTATTTAGAAAATACGTAAAAAAATGTTTAGAGTCCCTGAAAATAATGTCAAACGCGAAATTTAATTAATTAATTGATGTTAATTTAATTAATTTGAAATTTAATATTTGTAGACATATAAAATGTTTTTATTAATATATAAATATAATATTTATATTTAATATTATATTTTGTCTAATCTAAAAAGTAAAGCAGAATGCAAATAATTTATCCTGATGATAAATATTTGAATCATAGTTCATTACTTTTTTTTTTATAATAATTTTCGTATAATATTCAGTATTTATTTTTCACCATAAAAACTAAATTATAAAGCACATTTAAAATCTAGTTTGATACAATGATTATTTGACAAATAGATTTAATTCACACAGATTGTTATTGTATGTTATTGAATATTTTTATAATATAAAATATTGTAAATATTATTTTATTATCGCTTTATTTTTTTAATATTTCATTATTTTTATGTAAATTGTAGATAAAAATATAATCAAATTATTTGACAGCGATGAAACAAATATTTACGACGCATTAATAAATGAATGATGTACAGTTTCCAACAGGAAATATTAGAAACAGCTTATCATAAGATCAATTTTTGGTATTCATTACTAAAATTTGATAATTTTAAACATGGATCGAATTCACCACGATAAGAATTTCATTTGAGTTTATTAATTTTCAATTTTTTCCCTGGCAGTATTTGTGTTCGCATATGATCGTTTCGACTTCGTAACACACAATTTGTGTTTCGTGTTCTAATATAAAATATAGTAATAATCAAGGCTCGGAACTTTATGTGCTAAAATGTACTAAAATATGCGCATAAATATGCGTTAAAAAACATCAAAATATGCGGTATAATATGCAGTAAAAAATTGGAAAATAATTGCTTAAAAAATAATAAACTGACTACTGACTAGTGTACGCTGTACAATAAGTCGCTTGCATGCAGATGTATGCAGTATTATAACGAACAGAAATAATATTGTGTATAAGCTGAAAACCTAATGGTTAAACATAATTGTTTATGAATTACCTATGGTTATACAATTTGTTTATGTCACGTTACAAAATATAAATACAGTGGTAAATTTGTATAAAAATAAATACGAGACGGCGGTGGTCACTATTACGAGTTCTCGGTACCTACTATAGAGGTTATAATATTATTGTTAAATGCATTGGGAGCCGGAGCAATACAAATAATAGCCGTTGATGAATTAATTTATTTTGTTAAACGATATAAAACTTAGAATTTTGTTTGTCATATATCTAATATTTTATTATTAAATTATACATTTTTTTTAAAATTTTTTGTTAAATCTATGAAATATGCATATAAATGTTCTTAAACCCAATATATGCGAATTGATACAAAAAGTAACAAAATATGCAAAATTGTGCAACAACAATTTTTAAATTGTTTAAAAAGTTGTACACAAAGCTATATATCATAGATTTGTATTTCATTTAATCTGAAAAAACACATCATTTTCCACTCGTTAAGTTTTGATATCTCAACTATTATCCGATAATACAATACGAATTATGAGTACCTACTTATAATCTGTTATATTTATATAAAAACCATGTTTGTGTAAAAATCTTAAAATAAAATTTCAAATTCATATTTTGTTTCCAAACACTCAAATATGTTCCCAAAACTCTAAAATGCCCTAAATTGTTTAAAAAATGACCTAAAAACTAAAAAATTCCAAAAAATACAAAATAAACATTTTTATTTTCATTCAAAAGTATTTTTTTTTTTTTTAGATTTTGTAATACAATTAATCTCGATTTAGAGAATTCAAAAGTATTTAAAATAAATTTGTGACAAGACGAGCATCGCACAATAAGCTTTGTAAAACAATACAAAATGCATCGAAATTCCAGCCTTACATATAATATTTTATTTTATTTTTTTCGATTTCTATCACTTATTAGTGACAATACCGATTATTATTATTATTATTATTATTAATATAGTATTTAATAATTTACGATAAATATACATTAAAATTGAAAATATGTGTAATTACTAATTATTTTCACTTCCATTGTTAATTTTAAATCTTTCTTTTTTATCTTTCTTAATTCAATCACGTTTCGCGGGAAGTTTTTTCTTTATATTAAGTCAAAAAGTTATACTACCTAAGTTTGGCGTGAGTTGATATTTTATAATAGTTAAAATTAAAACCAAATGGTCTATTGAACTATGTGAAAGAATTCGATTTATCAGTATTAATTTTGTCGACTATCGAAGAGTACACCTATATTTAAAATAATTGTAAAATGGAAAGTTTCCTACAGACCATAATTGTATCGAACAAGCGATAGAGATGACTTGATGATGGGATGTGTACGAGAAAAACGCTATGTTTCAGTAAATACATAATGCTATAATGTTTATGTAAATATTCGACTATAAATTCAATTCATTGGGCGTTCGGGTCTTCGTGGTCACAGCGGTCGATGGACGTGGCCCTCGAGTGCGATCGCGTGGTAGTGGTCAGGTCGAGCGCGTCCACGGAAAGCGATCCCAGGTCCGAGAAGTCAGACAAATCGTTGCTGTCACGCTTGTGGCTGGGGTTGCGATCCATTGACGATGGCCGAGATCCGATCGAGCTGTCCGTGTTGTGGTCGTGGGCGGTGGGCGAGGACAGGACATGCGGCGGCTGACGCGACGGTGGTGCGGTGGTGCAGTCGGTCGTTGCGGGTAAGTTGGACAACCGAATGGTGCCGGTCAGTGTGAATGAGCACGTCCGGTCGGAGTCGGACTCGGGTGGCGGGACGGATCGCACCTTGGGCTCCCAGCCACTGCTGATCGTTCGGACGGGCTGAGGTATCCGTGGAGTCGGCGGTCCCGGGTGAATGGGCACGGGCAAACGGGATCGCTCATACAACTGGACCAGTTTGACGACGTACACGGGTGGGTCGGGCGACTTGCTGCCGTCCAACACCGGAACCCTGCAGTTATTCGGCGCCGTCGCCATCGCGTAACCGAGTCCCTGCGTCGAACGGGTTTCCGCGCCGCCAAGATTGCGGCCGCGGACAGCCGGTCTGTGCTGGGCCAATCGCGTGACATCGTTGATCCTGTGGCCTGTCGCGTTCGGCGCGCGTTGCGTAGGGTGTCTACTACCGGCTACGAAGTCGCTACCTGCTCGGATCCGCGTGCTACAGCGCTGCCACGGCTCGGTCGGATCCAATTGTCCATCGTCGTACCGATCAAACGCGCGCTCCACTTTCATCGGAATCCGTTTCGGCATCAAATCTTGACAGTTATTCCGCACCAAGCTCCTAAAGCATCGTAGCGAAATTGTGATACTAGACACGGTTAACGTGAGTTATTAACTACTGATTAGGTATTGGCTTTCTTTTACACATTCGTGTTTCTCAATATTTTATAATTAAGGCGCCCGGTGCCAATGTCGATTTACCCTCAAAATTGCACTCTACGGAAATAGTGATCCTGTCCCGTAGAATCAATCAAATTAATATTTTTTTTTTTTTTTATATTAATGGAGAAAAACATTCTACAGACCGCATTGAATTCCGTTTTTTCAATATATATTCCCGACATTTATAATGAATCATTAAAAAAAGTAAATTTTAAGCTTTTTTTACGAACATTTTTTCACGATTTGAAATTGGAATTACAAAATCGGAGTTCAATGCGGCCTGTAGAATGTTGTTGTTTATCAGTTAAAAAAAAATTTTGTAAAAATATTGAATTTACAATGAGTGACCACTTTTCCCGTAAGGTAATATTTTTGTTCTTCAAACGGCCAACTAAATATTTCGTTATTAGTTTGTCAGTGACATGTGCATGCGCGTACGTTCACGTTGTTCGTAGACCCCCACCCAATTGTTCATTTAATTCATTATAAGTGATACCTCGCAAACCGCGGGCCGCGGCACATCATATTCCGCGTATTGATATCCAATACGATTATAAAAATAAATAATGTAATATTTTATTTTCAATTATCATTCCGCGATGCGACGTTTTCGGGCTTGTAGACACGTTTGTACATAGGACTGTGCGATTGTTTCGATTAATCGATTCTTACACCAATTAATCGGCCAATTGTTTTTTCACCTAGTATTCACAGCATTAATCGGTTAACCGACCAGAATCGTAATCAATGTAACCATAAATTATTCGATTTCATACTTAACGGCTAAACATAATAATATGAAAAAAAGAACCGGACGGGAACTCGCTCTGAACGGAGATGATTTGTTCGTCTAGAACAGGGGTGGGCAACTAGCCTATTTTATCATAAAATTAGTTATAATAATTTATTACTTTTTATTAATAAATAAAAATATTATACATTAATATAAATAATTTAAATTAGATGAAAACTTTAAAAAAAGTAAAATTTAACCTTTTTTTTTACCAATATTTTTTCATTATTTAAAATAGGAATTAAAAAAATCGGAGTTTAATGCGGCCTGTATAATGTTGTTGCTTATCAATTAAATTATAAAAATATTGAATTTACAATGAGTGATCACTATTTCCGTGAAGTAATATTTTCGTCCGTTTATTAACTGTCATTGATAAAATAATAATAGTTATAATATAATAAAATATTGAACAGAAATAAACAATATATAGGAAAAAAAGAAAAGCACACGCACTCGATAATAATCATATTGAATACTGTCATTAGACAATTATTATCTTATTAGGTACTATCATTACGTGATCGAAGTTAGTGGAGGGGTTCACTCACACTAATAATCATTTACATTCTCACACACACTCGGTCGTGCCGCGGCGTTGACCCAACATGTGCATCGGGTTGCCAATGATTTGCTCCTTAATAAATAATTGGCACCGGGCCCCTTAAGCACGCAATATTGTAAACTGTAAAGTAATTTTCGGTGGTTTAGGTTTGGATATCATAAAATAGTAGTTTTAGAGTGACCGTTTTGCACGGAAATCTGTTTGACATAACCTTTTCGCGTTACTTAAGAGCTAGTGTACAAAACGATACGAACTCTTCGTGAAAAACCGGTACGTTCGTCGTTCGACACCACTCTCCGACTTGACTTGACTTGACAACAACTTTATTGCGGCTGATGGTCGGCAGTGCTTCTCGACACCTATCGTCGCCAGAGTCGTCGATTTGCGTCACTGGGTGCTCGATGACTCCGCTGAGCTCCTGCGATGTGCGCAGGACAAATGACATTCGTGTTAAAAAAAAACAAATTGATGACAGTGTTGTTATAAATTGTATAATATACGCAGATAGGATTGCTGGAGATCTTGCACTGTGGTGATTTCGATGATGCCGAATGTTTGCATAATTCGTCATGTCCGTCGGGATGCTGAAGCGACATAAGCAGCATAAGGTTGATAAACTCATATCTTAGCTGCTTGTCCGATTCCTTGCTATACTTTTGCAACCAAGTCGAATGGTCTGCAAATTAATAACGTGTTTATCGTGCTGATGGTGTACACAATATCAGCCCCTATTTTTTAGTGAACCCCGACACATTGTGTGTAGTCCATAACTGGAAGTGCGCATTACGGATTCGAGAAATATGCATCTACAAAATACTAAGACAAGACAACCGTTGAGGACTTAAATATATCTATTACATTTTAAATTATATAACCACACATTAAAGTAGATAGTTTGTAAGTAGTTTTCAGATTTATATCAAATATAAATATATTTTCAGTTTAATAAATAATAACGGATTGGTAGTTACTTAGGTAATTATAATTTGCAATTTAATTAATAAAAAAATCCTAATACTTAAAATTATAATCATATAGAAATGGGGTAGAGGGCTCTGTATTATATCATTGTAGATTAAAAAAAGGTGTAGTACGAATTTTTATGAAAAATAGGGGCTGCACAACATAAGAATATAATGCGGTCGCGAAAACAATAATAAACACAAATATAATTATCATCAGGTATTATCGTTTTACGAGCCAGAATACCTGCGTCGTTACACATCGATTGAAATAAGCTACATTTGACCACATTTCTGAAAATCTGATAAACATTTTCCAAAGCTGGAGAATCGTATGCGCTCAGTATCGCATTTGGTGTTATAACCAAATTCGTACAGACTGGTGCACCTCCAAACAACTTATTCGGATTCACATCATTTTTTTCTTCTGACATGTTTGATAAAAGTTATAAGCCTGTGGAAGTGATTCACTTTATACACTTTCGTGAGTATAGACACGGAGAACACAATTTTCAAAAAATGACTGTTTCTATTGATTTACTATAAGGTGTAATACACAAAAATGTTTTGAGTAACATAATTAACATGCGTAAAACGTTGTTTTGTCTGTGGCCAGTACTACTAGAGAACAAAAAACTTATTTATTAAGTTCATGAATAATAATTTCGTTTTAAAATTGAAAATTTGTAAAAAAAAAAAATGAATTGTTTTCGTAAACGTGTTTTTCGGTGTTAAGCTGCCAAGAAAATATCGTTCTTTGCATGGAAACTTTTAATCTATATTCACCTACAATTCATAATAGTTTTGATTTCGTTGAAACTCAGGTAATATTTGCTTGCAAATCATATTTTAATTTATTATGTGCAATTCTTAAAAATATCCGAATTTTGAAGACATAATCGTGCTCTACAGAATTAGGACAACTTACTTTATTTTTTGTATGTATAATAAATTAATGAGAAATATTATACTAAACATTAAGCGATTTAATGTTACAATAGATAAGATTTGAATTTCTTTTTTAACCATAATATCGCTTAAGATTTCTAGCGATAAAATATTCATTCTCGATAGATGACTTATTTCATTTATTTATTTTATCGTTTATAGTTTTGATTTTGTTTTAAAATATTTTATTTAATATTTCTAATTCTGATTTTTTTTTTCAGAACAATTTTTACCATTTTTAATTCATTAATTTTTTAAAAAAAAGTCACAGAATAGTCTCAAAAATCATTTTTTCATTAACATATACATAAGCCATTTGTTAAATGTAAACGTTGAATTTTGAATGTTATTAAAAATCTACTGACTGATATATCTATAGAATATATATTATATATATTCTAAAAAAATATTAATAAACCATATAAATAAGATAGAATTAACTACCATTGACTTAGAATTATTAAATATAATTATAACTCATTATAAAATATTATAATTATATGATTTAAATTAAATCAATTTTGTTAATTAAACACTGCCTTGTATTTTACAAAGAATTTTTTATTAAATTATTTTTATTTTTATAAATACGCCAGACGTGAAATGGTTTTTTTTTCTTTTTTAGTAAAAATATTTTCTGTAAATTAATGTTTTCGTTCAACTTACTATACATTTTATTATAATTCTATAGTAAAATTTTATAATTATTTTTATTATTATATAATATAAGTGTTGTATTTTTAAATAAGTAAATAAAATATAGTTACAATTTGTTTAATCCTTTCAAGTAGAAATTTTATTTTGTAAGCTAATCACAAAATATTTCAATAATAAAAGTTATAATTTATTATTAGATTTGTATAAAACAAATTAGACCATGATCTATTCTACTGTTAAAATGGTAATTTGATCACAGCGTGTACAGTCGTCTTATTTATTTTCGATTGTATAAATAAATAAAAAATAAAAACCATTGTTTTAAGTAATTATTTACAATTATAACGTCAAAAAAAAACAAATAATACAATCTATATAATTTTTAGGTAAATATTGTATACATTTGAATATTTAATGATACAAATTTATTGAATAGTGTTGCTTTCACAAAATAATTTTTCGAATATATTTTACATATTATAGAGAAAAACAATCTGCGGTATAAATATTATTTTAAAAATTATATTTTAATTTGTATTTCTTGTTTTTCTCATAATGTCATTTAGATTGCCTAGATGAAACTCCTTTAAAAATAAAGTGCATAACCATTTCCGTTCTTTTAAATATATACGGAAATAATTATAGCTTGTTTTTGAATTTTTGAAAAGGTTATAGTCTATGATATAATTTTTTTTATGCTTTATTAAAACTCCCAAAGTCAAAATTCAAAATTTCTTTGCTTTAAATAATTTAATTTCTATTCCAATAGAAAACTTCAATTTAGAAACTATTACGATTTAGTTATTAATTATTTCGCTTAAATAATATTTGTATACATCTAGTTATGCGAAGAAAAAGCGAAAAAAAAATACTAAGCTATCCACGAATTTTAAATATTATTCATGTATACTTATACATTATATATTTATGATATTATGTACGGGTATACAATGAATGTGGTGGTATGCTCTTCCGCATTAGCGAAAATAATATTACAAATTGATAGTAAAAATTAATAAAATAAAAGTAATATATAAACAAACATGTAATAAACAATAAGGACAGCTTAACTTTTTGTCCAGACATCACGTTTAAGTTTTAACATTACGAACGATACCAATGAAAAGACTAGTATCCAAGAGAATATGGACAAAAATCCCAAATAGACAGTCGGGTGTTGGAAACCAAGGCCTTTGGCGGTCAGCGAGCGTAGACTTTCTGTGGATTTTGTCAGCGGTAAGTAGTCACTGACCTTACGCAACCAGTAATACATACCCTCAGTGGGCCACATAAGTCCTGAAAAGTTCAAAAGTTGCGATTTAGTTTATCATCGGTGAAAATGAAATTGATGATATTTTGAATATTAGAATAAGTGCATGTGAAGTACTCGATTCACCAACCATAAACACGTTTAAAGAAAACTAAAAATAAAAATATTAAGTTGTAATAATTACCGCACAAGAACTTTAAAAGAAAATTCGTTCCTATACCCAAAAACGCTGCTTCCGTTGTCGTTTTGCAAATTATGGCCGAGAATAATCCTGTGGACGAATAATCGATCAATTAATTGGACTGTTTTACTTTAAAATACAATGCACTAAACTAAACATGCATAAAAACATTCAGAAATAGTACATTGTTTTATAGCACCTAGAATGCAATGCAATAATAATATTATAATAATATCATCGTACTACTTATAACGTATAAATTATATTATTTTAAAGTGTATACACGAAAAAATATATCGAAATGTCATAATTAATTTAAAAATGCTATTTTGAGGAAAATATCATGCAGGTCAAATACTTTAAGTTGAATGTAAAGATATAAAGAAACAGATATTACATTGTCCTTTCACCAACACAATAATAACTATTTTCTATACGATCATCGTAGATTTTTTTTGTTGTACATTTTAATGATTATAACAAAATTCAGAAACAATAGTATTTACCTTGACATACGGCTACGATGATGATTAATATCGATTACGCATGGATAATAATAATAATTATAATGTTTAACTATATAGTTGTATAGTATTATATTAGTTATATATAATATTATTATTACAGCTTATGAGTGTATTTAGTTTCTTGTTGTATCTATTATTATTATTATTATTTAAGGCTTTAAGGCAATTGCGTAGCCGGTGGGAGGGAAGGTTAACGGTTTATAAAATCCTCAATTATCTCTCTTATTTTATAAGATATACAATCAGTTTAAGACATAGGTATAATGTTATACCCGTATAGCTGAACATTAATTCATAATTATTTCATGTATCTTTCTAAGAAACTTATACTAAAATAGTTGTATAAATTTATTATCAATTTATATTCATACAAACATGAATTTTTTAGTGAATATAACGAGAACACGACCATAAATTATGTTTTTACTTTAAGCTCAGAGTGTAACAATAAATATTTTAAAATATCACTTCATAACTTTTTTTTTGGTCCTGGGGGGGGGGGTCTAATAAGAAATTATTTCAAATTTAGATACAGTAACTTCTATCGCTATTTGAAAAGCTCAAAATATTATGCAAAATGAAACATTGAAAACTAATTTAATTTTCATATCAATGAATTTTAGTTTTATTGCAGATACATTTACAAAATTAGAAACAAATATATGTTCTTAAATGAAAGTAAACAAATTGTCGAATCAACGATTGAAAAATGAAAACTCGTAAGCGGATCAATAGGAGACGATGTAAAAAAGAAAATTCATGCTGTTACAGAAAAAAATTCCAGGCTATATTGATTTTATATCAATCAATGACATAATGAGTGGCAGAAACCCTTTTAAAAATTTGGAATTATCGCCTTCTGATATTATGCGCTTCAAATATGCTTTAATCAACCGATGTAGGTTGATGTGGAACGATAATTTAGCCGCTTTAAAAATATTTTCAGATCTAATAGGCGACATTTAATATTTGATAATTTAAAAGATATTGTAATAATTTAATGCAACAAATCATTTTGATAATTTAATAATTATAATTTTTTTTTTTTTTTATTAAATTTTTTTCCTACATATTTGGATGTTTTTAGCACATATTTTATAAATTATACTTACATACATACGTACACATTTCTGTATTTTTATTACATATAAATCCGTTCCCTAATAAAAGCTATATAATAAAATATGTTTTTAAGTATCTGAACTAAATAAAATATTAACTTTGATTGATTATTTAGAAATCACCGCATGAATTGAATATCAAGTGGATCAACATTCATATGTTTGAATGTGCCGACTCCGTTGTTAAATAATTCGAATGAAATAGCAATTCGTAAAAGTATTGAGATTTTTTACATTTATTGTTTAAAATAACTGTACATACCGAAACACATTCCACCGCATCCGATCAGTGTCAAGAGGAAAAACGACGGAAATATATCACCGACGAATGGATTATCGAAAACCGCAAACATGACGGTCATCACCAGAGTAGTTTGATTGACGATAAATATGGTTTGGACCAACACTTGTGCCAAAGCGATTTCAATAAAATTCATTCCTAGAGTTTTTTCATCAATCAATTGTGATATATTATGCAAACAATATAATATTTTATACATCACGCGTATTCATTGTTTAAAAATAATATAATTATGATACAATAATAAGTTGTCAATTGCTAAAAACGTTGAACATTGTTACCTTATTCAAACTTACGAATTACAATCATGTACATTTTTAGGAAAACATTTTTATTTTACTTATTTGTTTAAATTTTATTAATTATTATTATTTCTTTGTATTATATGTTTAAGTTTTCTTTTTGTTAATTAATAAAATTAAAACATAATTTTATTATTTTTAATAGTATATTTTTATGATGATAAGTTTAATAAAATATCGTTAAGACTAAATATAAATTACCGTCACTGTTGTGCTTTAAAATATGATTATATTTACGACAATGTTTGGTAAGTAAATGTTTACTTCTAAGTAATTAATCGATAAATTAAATACATAAACGTATAAGTTGAAATATAATATATTAATAGTATTCAGCAAGACTTATTCATTTGAATATAATCCATAGTTGGAAAAGTTCGATTAATGTACATTAAAAAATAAATAAAAATAATAAAAATTTGTAATTATTTCTTATTAAACAATTAGACCAGAATATTAGAGTATTGTACCAGTCACTAGAAACATTTCCATCACTCACCTTTCTTTTGATAAATCGTATATTAAGTAAATTTAAACTTTACAAATTTATTTTTGAGGTCTTATAATATTTTAATATATGTATGTACTATTATTACATAAGATTAGAAAGTTTATTTATTTACACTCAACTAATTGGATGAGGGTTCAATTTGATTTTATACTCGATGTTTATTAATTAATAATCGATGTTATAATCAAAAAAGAAATAAAAAATACTTAAGCGTCGATGTTTATTTTAAAATATTAAAATATGTTAGTAATTTAACGGAACTTAATTAACATTTTATAAAATTGATTAGACGCAGAAGTAGAACAAGTATGTAAAATTCGACAATATTCTTGAGAGTAATTCACATCAATCTATACCAACATTAGTTATTAAGTTTCAAAAAATATTGTTTAATTTATTTTTATTGTATTCACATTATTCAGTAATTGGTTCTCCGCCTTTGTATCCTAGTATAAGTTTTATTTATTGTATTAGACTCATAATTGTGTTAGTATAACTTATAGGAATTTATATTCTTCCTTATTATACAATTATAATAATTAAATATATTTGAATAAATGATTTTATAAAATATATCGATAAATAATGAATACATTAAGTTACATACGTTAATGATTTGTTCAAAATTACCTGACAGCACTACTCTTTCTATAACTCCTCCTTCTTTTTCCGAAAGAATCGTAGCTCCTGTGTAAATTGCAGGGAGATAAAAAGCACATCTGTTTTCGTAAAAATGTTATTTATTATAATTCAAATTCAACATAAAATAATTAAGAGTCTTATTAAAAAAAATTAAAAACTAAACAATTGGTACTTACAGTGATATTATTGCTGGCGTTGCGTAGTGTATAAAACTAGGATTTTTGTTTCCATAAACGGGATCAAGCAACTTAAAAAATATATTTAGAATAAAATGTATTGAGAACACATAAAATAACATAAATAAACAGAACCAATTATAAATAGTAGGTTGATTGCAATTATTGATAAATGTTTAATTTAATTATAATAAAAAATCATTTACAGTTAATAAAAATTGATAAAAAAATAAAATTGTAATTTTTTTTTAAGTTTTACTAAATTAATCCTAACCAATATTTATTTATTTTTAAATTTTAAAAACTGTGGATCAAATTTGTGGAATTGAAAATATAAGTCTAAATTTCATATATTTTAAAAATTAAAAAAATATTGAATCACGCCACTTTTTTCTATTCATAAAAAACATAGTAACAACACATATAAAGTGTCTCACGAGCATTAAATAATTGCATTATTTTTTTTATTTATAAAGATAGTTAAATTGATTTTTATGAATAACTAACGTAATCAAAGAAATATTTATTTTATTTCATAATTAACTATAAATATATTAGAAAAACACTAAAAACAATGATTTATAATTTATATATATATATATTTTAATAACATTTTAAGATAGGTAGCAATTTTATATTATTTATTTTTTAGTAAATTTCTAATTTTTATAATTTCATGTTCGGTTTTAAATATTTTTTTAATTTACTGAAAAAAATTATCATTCATAACTTTTTGCGAAAATCTTTTTAATGATTAGAAATTTACTTATTAATGAAAGACAAATTATAAAATTAAGTTGAATTTTTAAAATGGTAAAAAGTGAACTTCAAATAATAAAAATTATTACATACAAATAAATAAAAAAAAAAAAAACAGTAATTGATTTATTTTATTAACACAGATATTATCATAATTAATAGAGCGTCATGAGACATCATCGCGTATGTTATCAATATTATTTTTAGGCTGGGATTTTGATGCAAATGCATCTTTTTTTTTGATAACCTAACACATAGGTTCGTAAAAAGAAAATGTGTTTCAAATGACACTGATTAATTTAATGCAGTTTTTAATTTGCATTTTTTCGCTTTTAATGACAAATTTAACTTTATGTGCATTTTTAAGCCATATTTTGCTTTTTTAGAGCATTTTTCAGAATTTATCTATAATTTCTAAAATATTAAGATATTTAATTATGCGTTTTGGCATTTTTTCGCTCAAAACTTGTACGTATAGTACATAATCTACTAAATTGATAAACAATAAGCAGGGCTCATAACTTATAGCTCTAAAAAAGGTTGTTATAAGCGCTTAAATATGCACTAAAAATACTAAAATATGCAAAAAACAACGTTTGTATACAAAAATTATTATTTTATTATTATTATTTATTATACTATTTTATTATTTTAGCTTCTATTATTAAAAAAAATAAAAAATTTAGATACTGAATTCACGAAATGAACTAGTATGCATACAGTACAAAAAATCAGAAACGACTGCAAAATGTTAATGAAAAATAATGTATAAATAATCTGAGAATGATGGTATCGTAATATCTAGATAATGATATCGGAATACCTGAATACCTTGAAACTATAAAAATAAAATACTACAATACAATTATACAATTATAATGGTTTACTTATCGATGGGATTACAAAGTTCCGGGCGTACACTCTCGCTACGTCGAGCGTTGTCTAAACTCGTATAGGTTTATATAGTTTATCTGATATTATTATATAAGTTATATGAGAAGAAAAATTAATTAACGCGAATTAATTACTAATATGAACAATTAATATGACTATAATTACTTGTTATTTTTAAGAAAAAATATTTTAGGCTAATAAAATTTTTTTAGAAAAATCAATAATAAAAATCATGCGAAAATCCAAAAATAAGCAAAAAAAAGTGAATAAAAGCAAAATAGTACTTATACTCTGAAATATGCAAAAATATGCAACATACAAATTCGTATGTAGCTTATTGGTTAGGTATTTGAAACAAATTTATAGCTCACATAGGTACCTCTAGGACCTCTCAAAAAAAAAAATATGCAAATGTTAGAAGTAATGAGCCCTGCTAATAAGTATGAGCATATCGACCCATGTGTCTATTTTATCAAAAGTAGAACAAAATTAATATAGCCGAAAAACATTTTTATATTTATAAGAGGTCTAACAACTATCATAATAGCCAGTGTCGTATTTATGGAGAGGGAATCCTGGCTCTTGACCCTCAAAAAAAAAAAAAGGTTAAAAAGTCATAAATAAACTATAATATCCTAGCTACATAGGTGTCGAAAAAGAAAATATTAATTTATATTATGTGTTTTTATTGTTTTAATGTTTGTATTACCTACAATTAGTATAAATAACTTAGGTTTAACTTTTGGTTAATTGGATAAGTTATCAATAAATAAAAACTGCTCAATAAAACCTGAAGAACTGGCGAAAAAAATATACTATAATTTATACAATAAAAAGCTATTAATTTGTATTCATAATAATAGTGAAATATAATATAGTATAAATAATATACCTAATTATTAAATCATAACTCGTATGTATTTTTATAATATTATAAACCTATACTACGAGTAAATACTTAGACCCCTCCCACAGAAAATGTGAAAATACGCCACTGATAACATGTTATATAAATACAATGAAATATGTTTTCTGACATTATTTTTATAATTTTATTTTTAAAATATAATAAATAATTCTTTCACGCATTTTTTTAGTGAATTTTTTATGATTTCTCAATTATTTTTTCGTTTTTTTTTTTTTTAAATATTCGCTATTTTTTTAGAGCATTAAAATCCCAGCCCTAATTATTACAGAATATGTACATAGTTATATATCAATAGTGAAAATAGTGCGGTGTAGTAAATGTAAGTACTATAGTACTGCCTATAGGCAGATCTCGGAATGCCACACGATATAGTTTGGATTTTTTTTAAATTAACATTTTTTCACTACTTTTTATTGGAATTTTATAAAAAATTGTTAGTCACTTACTCGCAGTGGAATTTTGCCCAATTTTTCTGATTTTTTGCATTTGTTAAAAAGAGAAGTTACCACGTCCATGTAACTGTCTAGAATGTCTCTTTTTATCATGTCTGACAGATATTTATCTAAAAAATTAATTCATATTTGATGATAAATCATATTTTTAAATATTTATGTTTAGCTTCATTCTATGTTCTTAACATGATTTATTTTGAAGTTAGTAACAAGAATTAAAATGCTTTAACTATATATAACATGAATAAATATTATATTTTCTCGGTGTGAATATTATTTTAATTTATATGAATTAATAATTAATAAGGTTGAAACTTCTAGGTCGGGTGCGACTCCACAATTGAGTGAAATTTGATATTATAATGTTATGGGTAAATTCCAATGTTCAGTTAACTGTGATTATTCAAACCTTCAACAAAATTACACTATGACCAACATATCCTTAAAAGCTAGGAAAAATGATTAAAATGTACATTAAAAATATACATTTAACGTTTCTAATGGTTAAAAATTACTTTGGAAAAGCATAAAATTTGATAAACATGTATCTAATAGTAGGTATTACACACACATACCCACCATTAAGAACTTTATATGTAAATAATTAATTAAACACCATAAAATATTGAAAATAATTACTCAATATTACTTAATCTTACTTGTATTGTCAATTGATGCGTGGATTGACCCAAAATTATACGTCTCATCGCTTATTTGAGATGAATTTGATTGATCACTGATATCACTATTTTCATTGTTAAAACGTATTGCTAAATTATCACTAAAGTTCTTTGAAAAATGAATAAATCCCCACACTTTACTTTTTTTTACAGCATATTCTCCATCATATACATTGGAAAATTCAACCTATTGTTTCAAATACTTTAATTAAAATTCTTGACCATCAAAAAACTAAAAAAAAGGTTTAAAGTTCAAAGATATGATTTGTTATATTTCAAACAAAAAATGAAACTCAGATAGGATTAACATATATATTAATTGCTTTTAAAAATTGTAACGATCAATAAGAAGTACAATTTTCCATTATCATTGCAATTATAAATTATGTATATATATTTATGTAAATTACCAAGTCAAAAGTTTTTTCTTTTAATCTTTCCAATACCAAACAACCAACCGGCACACCACCATCCAAAAAACAATCGTTCGTTCGGTTCATCGAACACGTGACTGAAGTATTAAAATCTTCATTAAATACACCAAGTGCCAAATGTTTTGGGTCATGGCCGCAGGCGATGTTGAATAATCCCGTCTGAATTAGCGGTAAAAATGTCACAAATAGAGTAAACCTTTAAGTAAAATCAAAACAAAGATGTAAAAAAAAAAAACCAGTTTATATATAATACGTATTTCTGGTGTATTAAAAAAATACTTACGGTATATTTCTTCTCAATAGGTTGATGTTTTTATAGACTTGAGCTTTGAATCGGCCGAATGTAAATAATTTATTATTTAAAAGCGGCGGCGGAGGTAAATCTCGAGCATAAGAAAATCTTCTCGTGGGCTATACATGAAATATTATTAGTAAACTCTATTATTTATTAATCATGATAATTATGTATTATTATTTTTCTTATATGTACTATATATATGATAATATATACTATATTGAATATTTTATTAAATTTATAGGATTTTAATAAAAATTTAAATTTATCTATTATTCCAATATATTTTAAATAGAAACCAAATTACTTAGCATTTTGTTAAATTATCGTGAAAAATAAATTTTCAATTCATACTTGTTTTACTGGAAGAGGAGCAGCAGTAATTGTTTTATCAGTTTTTGCCTTTTGATCTTCGCAAATTTTTAAAAATGCATCTTCCAGAGTTGAACAATTACATATTCTCAATAGTTCTGAAGGAGTTTCTTCAGCAAGAAGTACACCCTTTCTCATTAATCCGATCTATAATCATCATTACAGCATTTACTGTTATAACTTGCATTAATAAATTGTCGTCTTACCATTTGTGACTGCCTTGCCTCTTCTATGTAATGTGTTGTTATAATCACAGTTTTTCCTTCTTTTTCTGTTATATCCAATAAAAGATCCCAAATACTAATAAAATACAAAAAATGACCTTTTATCAATTTATTCCTTGTAAAGTCGAAATAAAATTATAACGAAAAAAGTATATTGTTTTTTAAAAAAAAAGACTGAAAAGGTATTTAGTAATTTTCTTATTGCGTTTATTATATGAGTTAATGTTTAAAAATAATACTTTTATAAGCCCAACCTATCTTCTGTAAAAGGAAGAAAGATTTTAATAATTTTTATAATTTTTTCTGTTGCTTTTATATTTTAATAATTGATGAATATAATTTAATAAAAATATTCTTTAAACACCTTATTTAAATATTCCTGCAATTCTAAATATTAATAAATTTTAATCAACCTATTTTTCGTATGAAATTATAAAAAGTAGAAAACACTTTATAAAGTATAATGTATATTTATATAAGTAAAATTATAGTTTAAGTAAGTTTAGAATTATGTAATAATTTGAATATTAATTTAATTACCTCTGACTAATAAGTGGATCTAAGCCAACAGTGGGTTCATCCAAAATCAACAGTTTTGGATCATGAAGCATTGCTACTGCTAAAGACACTCTTCTTTGTTGACCACCACTATTAATAAGTTAAATAATTAGATCCATTTTAAATGCATACTAATAATGGTAACGATAAAGAATATTCATGCATTTTTAGTGTACCTTATCTCGTTTAAGATCAACTTGCATGATGGTAATTTTAAGAGGGTTTTCAATTCTCCTCGTCTTATTTTTATGGCATCATCCGAAAGATTAAATATGTAACCGTAGTATGTAAATGTTTCCTTTATAGATAATTCATTATGCAATGCTAACTCCTTTAAGATTATATGTTTTATACCAGATTAAAAAAAAACTCATTTTTAAATCATATTGAATCAACGTTACCTGAGGCATGTATCCAATGTCAGATATGAGTTTACCTTTGAGTTTTATATCACCAGAATCTAAACGCAAACGGCCAACAATACAACTCAATAGAGTGGTTTTCCCGCAGCCACTGGGTCCCAATAGCCCATATCTGAAATTAAAATGTAATAAACCAGTTATTAAAACAATGTACCCTCAAAGTATATTTTTTTGTTTATTAATCGAAAATCGATTATATAAACTTAAAATTTATAAATATGCATGAATTATAGTTTCATTATGACATAAAATCACAAAACACATTTCAATATCCAGTTCATCAATTTTTCGTCAACCTAATGTTTAATATTTTAAAAGTGTTCACAAAGTTAAAAAATTATTTTGAAATTAGAATTTTTAACGAAATAGTCCAACTGTACAAATATAGACGTTAATACTATATTTTCTTTTTTGTCTTCTTCGCCTTTCTCCCAACCATTTAAATATTGAAATAATACAACGGTTTAATATTGTAAAATTTGTTTTTGGTGTCCTCATATCATTGTCCTATTTTTAAATCGTATAAAAAAATATTGTCATTGAAAGAATGCTAATATAATTTTTCAGATTATTATACGATTATGACCTTTAAAGTATAATTGCAGTATCGATTTACTATCTATATTTGACATTCTATGCTATATACATAATAGAGTGCGTAGAGTAACTTTGCAGAGTAAATATAAATAGATAAATTAGAAGTTACGTATATAACCGTGAACGTCATAGAATTAACAAATGGTTGGAATAGCATAACTCCAAGTTACGTACATAAATATTTGTCTTTGAAACTTCATCAATTTGGTATTTTAGTCGCTTTCAACTTAATTGAAACAAAACATTGTTCTTAAAATATTCTACTATATAATAGAATTTCGTAACAAATTTGTTTATTAAAAAAATATTTATGGATTTTTTTATATTTTCTAGATATGTTATTTCCAAAGCATTTTCCGCGAATCCGAAGGGTTCCGTGGGAAAATTTCAAGGGTTTTGCAAATCGTATCTATAAGCAAATATTGAGAATAGCAATTGTAATAAACAATAACTATGAACCTTTTTTCGGAATGTTAATTTTTCAATAAATAACTGAAAAATTGGATATAAGCTGGTGTTCGAAACAATGGCGTTCCACGAAACACAAACCATTTCTGAAGAGTTCCTGGTGGTAAAAGTTTGGAAACCATTGATCTAGATAATTACTTGACTTTTTCTACAAATTAAAAGTTGTTTTTGTACTTAGAATAATATTTTAATTTATTTGTTAGTAGTTAACAAATGTAGTGTCTTATGTCAAAATATTAAAATGATTAAAATTTAGTACTTATATAATAAAACATTTTAAAATGCTTATCTTGATCTATATAATAATATTTTAATATTGTTATTGTTATTTTTATTCCGATTCATATTTATATAAAATTAAATATATGTAATTTACTGATAAAACATAATTAATGTAACATTGGCTGTTGAACAAATTACTATGGTTTCAATTTAGTTGTATTTAAATAGTTCCGTTCTATATATATTAGTAATAAACTATTGCAATATTCCTATGATATTTTATATAATCAAATATAAATGTATTTGATATAATATTATAATATTTAAAAGTATATTATAGACTTAGATTGATATGGTTCAAAGATTACTTCTCTATTAGACGTCGAACATGAGTATTTGCTAAATAAATGATTTCTTAATTAAAACATAATTGTGCTAGATTGTGTTTAATAGTTCTAAAGAGATATTATTTAAAATCATAGATTATTAAATGGGTTTTAATTTTGAGATTCTAATTTATATGAAGAGTGCATCGATTTTACTGTTGATTTCAAAAAACTAATTATATTTTAAGCATTTTCAATATTATTTATTTTTCAGATATAATCTTTCTATTTTTTATACTAGTGAACATTATTTTATTTGATGAAATGGAAAATTTAAAAAATAATTAAGTCAATTTATAAATTATTATAACATATTAACCTAATCTATGTCAAACAGCTTTGTTTTAAGCGGACTTAGATTGATATCAATTAGCTGAAGAATACGATACTGGTGAAACCATGATTTAGGTCAAACATTTTTTTATTACATTTTTTTTGTAGATTTTACTGAGTTTAGAAAACGCATGTCGGTAATTCGTTTTTTATCTCTTAAATCGAGATTTATAATATATTTTTACGAGTACAAATTTTCATAATAGTATAGACATATCTATTTACATGTTTTATTATTCTCTCCACTTTTGACTTACATTTTTCCAATGGGCACTGTCAAGTTTAAGTCTTTCAATACGACCGTTTGACCATACTGCTTATGAGCGCTTCTTACGACCACTGCCGACGACGGTTTGGGGACGACGGGTATTACTTGGTTTTCACTACTCGGTTGCGGTCGATTATCAACGATCGAAACACGACGCTTTTCCGATGTGGTCATTATCCCAACGTGTTTATTATATATATGAATATATAATAGTTATTGTAGGGTTATATGACGACCCGATAGTGTAAATGTATTTTTTAAATTATTTAAATCGCGACCAATAAGTTCACATCAAACACTGTTTTTTTAACAATACGAATTGAGAAGAAAAAAGAAAGAAAAAACAATACAGACAACCGAAAAGTACACGCGAGCAATGCGAATTGTAATCGACCAGTGCTAATGGACACTATACTATGTGGATACTAACTTTGGCACTTCGCACGACCGTGATGCGTATAATCGGCTTGCCCCCTCGCGAATACATATAGGTATATCCTGCAACATTGCAGGACGTGTTTGCAATAAAATATATACATCTATACACATACATTATAAGATATAATTTACAAGTACGTTTATCGGTATATCGTGTTGCGATTTTTACTTTTCCTACCGACGGCCCACGTACAATAAACAATATTGATATTCGAACAAGGAGCGTTGAGTAGACACGTACTTTTGCACGCCTACATGACGCCAAATGGATGTAGACGCGAAACATAACTATATATACAAGTCGTCGCGAACAAAAGTTGGACTCGAAGTGGTAAAATGTCTAATGATATTAGAGTTATGCATATGTAACGATTGAGGTACGGTTCCAATGCATTTTTTGTCGACTTTTCTGATCAAATAATGTTTTATTATTCACAATTATCATGATATTTCCAATAAATATAATGAGCTGGGGAATTTAGGTTTTCCAATCAGTTTTAAAATCAATACACAGACTGTTAGAATTTCAAAACACATCGAATCGAAACAAATTATACATATAAAATATGCATAAAATAAGTAACGAAAAAGTACAATAAGTACATCAATACATTATTATTTAATTATAAATGTGTATAAAGGAAATAATTTAAACCGACCATTATATACAACATGTATAGTTAATAAATGTGTACGTATTAGTGTATTACACATTCAGATTTGTTAATTTATACGATATTTAATCTAATGATGGTTGTTTTGAAATACGTATTTAGCTGATCAATTTTGAGGAGTGACACATAATTTATTAATTTATAGATAAAATAAAACAAAGAATCAAAATATATCAAATAGACTTAACTGAGATTTATTTTTCCATATTTTATTTAACATTTTTTATAATATGCCATTCAGTGGCGTAGCTAGGATTTTCTGAAGGGGGGTGTTAATTATAATTATTAAATATTATATATAATACGTACGATCTAAAACTTTTATTTTAATTAATTAATATGTATACATAATGTCTGTAATAGAGATGTAATGTATATTCGAATTCGGATAGCTTTACCATAAATTATTCGAATATTTGACTATTCGAATATCAGTATTCGATGCTACAATACCTATTATTATTAAACGTTTTGTGTTGCACGAAAACGTAAACGAATAATTTTCGTCACGTATTGTCGCAATCGCGATAATACTAACCTGTATATATGTAATTAGTATTGTGCATTATTTTATATTTCATATTGTATTATCGATTTACCTATATTCCTATAATAATGTAATATATGATACGACTCAAGGGGGGTGTCATATCTACTAAACACCCCCCCTTGTATACGCCACTGATGCCATTATATTAAAATGTTTTCATTTCAAATTCGCACATTTAATTGTGTTTTATTTATTTAATTTGATAATTTTTCCTCTAATTTGTATTGTTTGCACCACTGGAAAAATCATCCGAACATTTACAACGAATAATAATAATAATAGTCCAAATTAATTAAACCATTTCTACGATTATTTGTAAACATTTTAAATCTGGTGAATTTTATCACTAAATGTTATGCGATGATTCAAAGATCGAAAGTGGAAAAGTAACTAGTAGTTTGAACATTGTGGATACTATCTCTTACCAGATTCAAGACTCGGTAAAAGACACCTCGACGGGTTGTAACTGTGGTATAATCTTAAACACAATATATCTATTTATCGATAAGCGACGATAATCGTAAAAATGTGTGGCTAAAATATGTGTTCCTAGGAAATACATCGGAAAAGTGCAGTAATTGAACTATCAAGTCTTTTAAAATGTACGTATGTTTGTAATAGTCCTAAGGTTTTTTTTTTGCAGATTTATACGGTAATAGGTAGCGTATTTTTTTTTTTTTTACTCACATCTCAATTATAATTGATATCCAATAATAACAAAATATTTGACATTTTTATAAATCATTCTCTTATACTATTATTTATATATACTTTTATTTATCACTTTAGATAACATATACATTTTTTTTTATTTATTTATTACAAATATTATTATCATATTGTCTTATTGTCATAGTATTATAAATATAAAACTAGTATGTAACTCTTGACACTCGAGTACCCGGGGTACCTTGGTTTTACGGGTATTACCCGATTTACAAAATTTCGTTTACTTGTTATGGAATGGGTACCCGTTTTGGACTGGGTACCCATTATGGTTTGTGTACTCGTTATTTACTTCACCAATAGGCTACAGTCATCTCAAAATTGTGTACAAAAGACGATGACCAGCTGTCTAATAACAATATAATATTGTCGCACTTGTTGCATTATATCTATCAACGTATGATACCATACGGCCATATATGCTACTAGGTACTTATTATCTGCGTAGCTATATCTACACATACAAGATATAGCCACTATTACCGTTACCTACAAGGTTAGGTTAATATAGGATTTAAAATAGCTTTTAATATGGTATTCAACATTATACTTGAATAAATTTATTATTAAACTACAAAATCACTAAAAACACTCAAAATACTAAACATTTTATTTTTAAACAATAATTTTGTTAAATTAAAAGAGGAAATATTTCTTATTCGTATAATTGTATAGTTATAATATAATACTAATTTTCTAGTTTTCACCAAACTTGACCATTTACGTGTATTATAAACTTTCGGGTACCCGAACATTTTGGGTAATGGGTACCCTCTACTCAAAAATGTTGGTTACCCTCAAAGTTGGGTATTACCTACAACAAAACAAGAGCACTAGTAACAATATATAATACAAATTTACAAAAAAAAAAAAAAAAAAAGAATAAAATCTGAGTAAATTATTGAAAAAAATAATAAAATTGTATGGTGTTTACGAGTTATAAATTACTTGTAGGCAAGAATTAATTTTTTTATTATAAATATTGAGTAATTTATATAAGAAATTAGTAGTTTTTTAATTGTAGAACTCTACTACTTATATGACATATATCGTTCGTCGATATTAATTTATGATTAACGAAGTTACATTTATATATTATGTAATAAAGAATACATTATATATTTTGGATGGATAGAGGATTCAGCATATATGTTTTGTTTTCAGTAAGTAATTTATTATGAAAATTGTCCGAAAAATGTCAAGTGTACTTCAAATAAATTATTTTTATGAAATTCTCAATAGGTAGTTTAATAAACGTATTCGTAAAACCAATCCAGAAATGATGAAAATCTTCAATTTATAAATTCATTAAAAAAAATATAATAAATATACGTAGTAGCAAGGCTGGGCAAGTTAATGATATTTTTTAACTCAAGTTAAGTTAATTGAGTTCATGTTCAATTAAGAATTAACTTAATTGGGATAGATGAAAAATAAAACGTTCATTTCAAGTTAATCTGTAAGGAAATGAGTTAAGTTAATAAGTTAGTTTAATTTAACAGTAATGTAATAAGTTAAATCAATAACTTCAATTGGGTGGCCATTCGTCCCGGAAAATCCGGGATGTTAGCAATTAAGGAACTCATGTCTAGGTGTTCCGAAAAAGTTTTTCGGGACAAGGCGTTGTTACCGGATTTAGTATAATTTAGTATAGTTTAGGTTTAACATAATAATTACTACGTTTACATGATAAAAATTAAGCCATTCTTAATTTAAACCAATTTTATCCTAAGTAAACTTAAATTGCTTGACTTGTTTATATGAGAGTAATATTAAAGTTCAACATTTTCATTATTCCATGAAATTGGTATTTCTTTCAGATCCATAATTATTTTTAATACCTATTAATTATCAATAATCAAATATTTAAATATTATAAATTGTAATTTATAATAAGTAAGACTAATAAGTATAATTAAAATATTCATAAAAATAAAATCTGAATAATGTGTTATGTTATTACTTATCAAAATAAAACCGATTCCGTTTACAGGTAAAACAATATAGCCGATTTTAATTATTAAACCGATTTATTTTGGTTAAACTACATATTCAAGCGTCCTTCAAATAAAAGCGGTTTATGTTATCAAAGTCGCTTTAAAGCGTTTACATAATTCATGATTAAACCGCTTTAACTTTTAAACCGTCTTTAATTGTGCATGTAAACGTATTAAATGTCCCGAAATTTAACTTCTTTTAAAGTATTATTGTTGCCGGGTTCAAATGCATCAATAGAACGAGTGTTTTCATTGATGAGTTGCACTTGGACCGACGTTTGTAATCAAATGGATGTGGTAACTGTAGAAAGTTGTTTGATTATAAAAACACATGGTTTAAGTTGCATGGAATTTTACGACGAAATTATAAAAAAATCACTCGTTTCTGAAGAACGTCGACAACACGCAAAAATACACATTGCAGTTGAAGATAAAGCTTAACAAATTTTCCCTGTCACTATGTCACTATGAAATAAAAAAATATGTAAACTATATTTAAAATTTTAAAATTAGTTTTTGTTGAAAATAAATATATATTTTCTTTTTATATAATTTTAATATTTCTCGTTTAATATTTAATAATGAAACCTACAAGTAAAAAATTTTAAAATAAAAATATTAAGTAGTTATAGTTAGATAGGATGATTAGGTAAAGTTAGAATTTACTGCCCCGGATTTCTATTAATTTTTTTTTGACCACCCTAAATTAACTTAATTTTTAACTTATTAACTCATTAATGCCCAGGCTTGCATAGTGGTGTTTTTTTTTTAATTTAGGAAATAATATATGTGTATAATGTACAGTGTACCTATATAATAGAAATATTTAGTGAATATTTTATTACTTTAAATATATATTCGTCCTATGAGCTACATAAAATGCTAATCGTGCACGGAGTTCTTACATGACCGTCATAATAGTGTCCTGTTGAAATAACGAGACGACGAAGGACGAACACTAGTCTCACTGTATCAGTATTACACAATTATTTATTCCCATTTCATTAAATCCGCATGGTTAATTAGTTAATTTCACTAACACATACGGAAA